TAAGCAAGTAAATGTTATAAGAATATTTACATGTGGAATTATATATAAAAAAGATAGTATTTTCGTAGATTTCAGTACCTAAAACCTTATTGATTTGATCGTTTTTTGCACCTGTTTATTCGTTTTACTGCGGCGTCTTTGAAAATACTCAGGTGGCATGACATAACATTCCTATTATTTGATAAGCTTTAGAATATTCAGTTATTAAATGTTTGAAATTATTTGTTTTTGCGGAAAACACTATTTAAAGAATACGGGGCTTATAATGGTCTGATATTATCTTTTATTTATAAATATGGGTAATTTTTTAAAAGTACCTAAGTAATAAGATTTTGTAAAGCTTAAGTAGTACGAAAATATAACGCATAAAAAACCAATAATATGTACGAATGTTTCTTTATTAGAATAAGATTAAATTTTACGTACAGGGTGTCCCACATAAAATCGTTATTTATGTTGTAGCCTTGGTAGTTTCAAAATAAATTTACAGCTTAAAAATTGGTCTGGCTCAGGTAGATTTCTTTTTCAATCTACAAATCAGTAGCTACTTACCGATAAGAAGGAAACCACTAGTCTAGTCGAGAAGTGAGTTTTCTGCGAAAAATAGTTATTGTAATCCTAAAAATATGGTTGTTAGTACATTGGATTCGGAATTAAATTCTGAGAAAGAAGTATTTTTTAATTTATCCGCAATTAAAAATAGCAATTGTTATAAACAAAAAACGAAGAGAAAAAAGGGAGTCTCCTTTTTTAGCTATAACTAAAAAAATATTGAAGATAGCTGAAATTTCAAAAAAGATCCTGAAAGAGGAGAAAATTTCAGCAAAATAAGTCAGGACTCCCGGAATTGTAGCTCCATTATTTATAATTTTAATTTGACGTTGAAAATATGGCTTCGCGCGGCGGTTTCCGCATCGTCGCGTCGCCTCCAAGCAAAGTGTGCAACACAAAATAATTTTTTTATAGTATTCGATATTAATTTAAAAATCTAAATAAATTATAGTGTCATCTAGACACTTGAAGGAACACAGCCCAGTTGGAAAATAATTTTTAACTTGACTTTTCTTAGTTATTCAATTGTTAATGAATTAATCTTTCATAAAACTTGTAAAAGTTTAAATAATGTATCTACAAATTTTTTTCTTTCTGGGAGGTCTTTTTATATACATAATAAACAAGATTCCGTTGTAAAAGTTTATAAAAGTTTTTTCATTTGTTTATAATGAGTTTTTAAAGTTAACAAAAAATGAAAAATCCGGGAAATGTTATAAAAATTTTTTTTTACCAAATGTTTGATTTTACTTGTTTTTCTATTAATATATTGCGTTTATTAACTTAGCTAAAAAAATTTTAACGTTATTTGTTTATAAATTTGTTATAAACAAATGGACAAGTTTAATATTTTTGAAACATTTTTTTGCCATTTTATTGTCTTGGTAAATTAATGATTTTTAAAAACAAAAATTTTTCTTAAATAAATTTTTTAATTGTTTATAATCGTTTTTTATATTTATTTGTCATTTAAATTATTTATTAAGAAATCATTTTTTTTTAAATCATCATTTGCTATTATCAATATAATTATAAAAAAAAAATTTATTCAAATTTTCATTGTTTATTTTATAAACAATTTGTTATAAACAAATTCTGATTTTCATTTTATTTTTTTTTCGTAACTTTAACGAATTATAAATACAGCTATGTGCATCAAAGTGGTAAATAACATTTTTTTCTAATTTTTATTGCATTTTTAAATACTTTATCACATCAAAGCTGAAACGGTCACCTATTTTATAAACTTATAAATTGTTATAATTTCTAAACTATTGATGATACGGTCTTTGACATTCAGGTAGATCTTTTAGATAATTTATTGATCTATAACATGAATTTTTTTACCTGCTTCATATCTACAATGGTTCTATTTTTATAAACATTTGTTTATAAAAAAATGCATTATCTAATTCTTTAAATGACTAAAACTTTTAAACTATTGAAGTTACGGATTCCACTATTTAAGACAATTTTATAGAGTAACTACTGGACTACTCAATAAAAATTTTTTTATATTTTTTATTCCATTTGTTTACGATGTTTTTTTATTTGTTTAAATTATCACACGATTAAGGGTACATTTTCTGGGTTTTCTGTACTTTTTTTCTAACTAATGTCAATATTTTATATTCTTCTTGTTGTTTTCTTCAATTTTGTCTATTTTTAATTAAACACTTAACTTTTGTAAGAGCAGAAACTCAAAATTTTAACCAATTGTGCAGCCTGGAAGATATTTACGGAATACAATGAACTTTTGAGTTATAAAATAAACAATGAAAATTTGAATAATTTTTTTTTTGTAATTATATTGATAATAGCAAATGATGATTTAAAAAAAAATTCTTAATAAATAATTTAAATGACAAATAAATCAAAAAAACGATTATAAACAATTAAAAAATTTATTCAAGAAAAATTTTTGTTTTTAAAAATCATTATTTTACCAAGACAATAAAATAGCAAAAAAATGTTTCAAAAATATTAAACTTGTCCATTTGTTTATAAATTTGTTATAGCTAAGTTAATAAACGCAATATATTAATAGAAAAACAAGTAAAATCAAACATTTGGTAAAAAAAAAATTTATAACATTTCCCGGATTTTTCATTTTTTGTTAACTTTAAAAATCATTATAAACAAATGATAAAATTGTTATAAACTTTTACAACGGAATCTTGTTTATTATGTATATAAAAAGACCTTCGAGAAAGAAAAAAATTTTTAGATACATTATTTAAACTTTTACAACAAATTTTATGAAAGATCCACGAAAAATTAGTTCATTAACAATTGAATAACTTTAACAAAAGTCAAGTTAAAAATTATTTTCCAAATTTTCCTGTGTTCCTTCAAGTGTCTAGATGACACTAAAATTTATTTAGATTAGATTTAGGCCCGATTTTTGAAAAAAAACCTAATTCGCCCGGACTACTAGGCTTATTTTATTCATTATTCAATTCTTCAAAAGTCTTCAAAATTTAGAAATAAAAAGTTGTCATTCTGGGAACAATTGTTTATACAAATTTTGACTTTTTTAGTATTTGTAGAATAAGCTTTACAAGTCGATTTTTCAGAGCACTATATTTCATTTTTGCAATAAGTATTTCGTTCTAAAAAAGTTTTTTTTCTGTTCTTCATTAGTATTATTTTTGGTTTTCCATTTAAAAATTAAAGTAAGTAGCAAAAAAAATAGTGTATCTGGCAATTGAATTCAGATCCACTATAACTGCAGGCTAATTATATTTGAAATCGCATTATATTGCTTGGTAATTGTCCAAAACATGACATAAATTTATTTAATTTTAATAAGCAATAGCATAAAATCGATGTAAAATTTCCCTGGGAACACGATGGTGCAATTATTTTTTTGCTACTTGCCGTAGTTTACGAGATATTTGCGAAAAACCTTATTTTTACGGGTTTTTGACCTTTTGACCCCTTGCCTGATCACCTAGGTCAAAAATTTTTGCGTATTCGGATTCCTGAGGGTCGAAAACATATTTGCGCCCAGGTTTGATCGACAGAGGAAAAAATGGAGGTTCAGCCTTCATTTCAATGGACTAAATACATACAGTAATATTATATATATATTTTATGCCTATACATATTATTCTCCAAACGCAATTAATAGCAAGATTCTATATATTTTAGTAATTAAGCAGTGTTTTTAAGTTAATACGACTCGCCAAAGTAAAAAAATATTTCAGGTTAGGTATATATTTTTTTACTGAAAATAGCAGTTAATTTACATTATCGGATTGTTAATGTGAAAATATAAACATTAGACTGTTGACTATTCCATGTTATACGTGTTTTAACGTCACTTTTGAAGAAGAAACTACATGTAATTTTAAAAACCGTATTTCTGTTTTTATAATGAAGGAATAGTAATTATAAGATTGTTTAAGCTTATTAACTAAAAATTATTGCCTATTCAATAAAAAAATATTATTGTCCTCGATAATCTATTACTGATTAATAAAATATTTACTCTCTTTCCTTATAAGATTGTATGTAAACAAATTGGAGCCGTTCCTGAAAAATCGGGCGAATATGGTTGCAGTGTAAATTATTAGACTTGAAGCGTTGGCCGCTAGAGCAGCACCTGCCGGGGTCCCGTTTCGTGACTCACGCTGGGCGATTTTTTTTGTACAAAATCCCGTCCTTAACAGCCCGTTTCCAATATTAAATGATTATTTTATAACATCGTACTTTCTTTGAATGTTAATGGTTGATGGTATCATAAAAGTAACATAGTTGCCACATTTTTTCTGAATCAGTATTTCGCACTAAACTACCAGGTATCCCAAATGTTTCTTAAATAAACAGAACCTTAATTTAATTGATATTACGAAATATTATACTTTTGATATTGTTATTATATTGTTATTAAAAAATAGAAATTAATAAACTTAGTAAATAAGTTTTTCAGCTGTCTTTAAGACGTATTAAAATAATATTGCGTTTATACATTTCAACGTATGATCATGAATCAAATATATGTGTATTGAAAAACAACTATATGATTGTGAAACCTCGAAAATAAGTATTCATTGGCGAGATTTGGGACAAAGGCAAGTTGCGTAAGGTTACCTATAGCCAATTTCAGCATGCAGCGTCACCTAGTGGCAAATTCTAGAATTATGAGAAAAAACGAAACAAGAAATGGTTTATTTACATCATGATTTTCTTATATATTTTTTGGAGAAGTTAGTTAATTGTGAGTCAATAAATTATTACTTCATTTTTTTGCTTTGTCCATGCGAATAGGTCGAAGAATCATCTGCCCTCTAGTGTCCCAGATGTTTATAAGCTTGCGTTGAACCGACAAAGTTGGCACCGATTCTGCCGACAAACTGATTTAGTATTAAACATTAGATTTCTCATACAACTGGCAACGGTGTCAATGCACTTAACACTTAAACGTCATAAACTCCATACTGACGTCTGATGTGATTGCCTGGTTATCATTTCCAAACGAAAGTTGACAATTATCGGCATCGTGGGGTTAACTTTGTACTGTAAAAATCATGTTTGACTAGTGTTCAAAGTCTAAAACATTGAAACATTATTGCAACGGTGTATTCCACAGTAATAAAAAGAGAAATTGAGTGACCTGTTTAAATGTAAGTTGTTTTCTGTTTTCAAAATACATCTAATATTAATTTACTCATGTTTTTAGAAATTTTACAACTATCAAAATGGGAAGAGTATTTGTAATAGGAGTCGGTATGACCAAATTTGAGAAACCTGGAAAAAGAACTGATGATTACCCACAATGGGGCAAACAAGCCATCACAGCTGCCTTAACTGACGCTAATATTCACATGTCGGAAGTAGAATTGGCCACAGCGGGGTACGTTTATGGAGACTCCACCAGTGGACAGAGAGTGATATATGAAGTGGGCATGACAGGTATTCCCATCTTCAATGTAAATAATAATTGCTCCACCGGATCGAGTGCCTTAATGCTAGCCAAGGAATTAGTAGAATCTGGTAAATATAACTGCGCTCTTGCCCTTGGATTCGAGAAAATGGAACGAGGCAGTCTTTCTTCGAAATTCATGGACAGGTCAAACCCAATGGAAAAGCACATAGAAGCCATGTCAAATCTAGCAGATATTGATGGATCTCCAATAACTGCTCAAATGTTTGGCAATGCGGCTATTGAGCATATGAAACGATATGGGACTAAAGCAGAACACTTTGCCAAAATCGCTTACAAGAATCACAAACATTCCATTAACAATCCATACTCCCAGTTCCAAGACGAGTATACTTTGGATCAGATACTAAAATCTCCGAAAATATATGGACCACTCACTAAACTTCAGTGTTGTCCAACAAGTGACGGAGCTGCAGCCGCCATATTGGCATCAGAAACATTCGTAAGAAGACACGGGCTAGAAAGGCAAGCTGTAGAAATTTTGGCTATGGAAATGGTAACGGATTTACCTTCTACGTTTCTCGACAACAGTCATATGAAAATCGTGGGATACGATATGTCAAAAACTGCAGCTGAAAGGGTTTTTCGTAAAACGAACAAGGACCCTTCAGATGTCCAAGTGGTGGAACTTCACGATTGCTTCTCAGCTAACGAACTGATCACATACGAGGCCCTAGGGCTCTGTCCTCCCGGAAGGGCAGGAGAATTCATAGACAGAGGCGATAATACTTATGGGGGAAAATTCGTAGTAAATCCAAGCGGTGGTCTTATTTCCAAAGGGCACCCGCTGGGAGCAACTGGCTTAGCTCAATGCTCAGAGCTTTGCTGGCAGTTGAGAGGTGAAGCAGAACGAAGGCAAGTTGCTAACGCTAAATTGGCTTTGCAACACAACATTGGATTAGGTGGTGCCGTCGTCGTCGCATTATATCAATTAGGCTTTCCAGAATATGCCAACAGGAACGTTGGGATTCGTAGAACTGCTGCCGCAGTTAGTGATAGCGGTTTTATCGTAACTCCGTACATGAAGATTCTCCAACAGGCCATGGAAGATGATGAAGAAGGCTTGATAGAAAATCACAGGGGCATATATGCATTGAAAGTCGCTAAAGCTAATGGTGATACAGGCACTTGGGTCATTAACTGTAAAACCGGCAAAGGAAAAATTGAGTTTAACGGCAAGGATAAACCTGATGTTACATTTATTGTTAAAGATAGCGATGTTATTGAACTCCTCACCGGTAAAATTCCGCCACAGAAGGCGTTTTTCCAGGGGAAGGTGAAGATTCAAGGGAATATTGGACTGGCTGTGAAATTGACTGAACTACAAAGGACCGCAGCCAAAAAGATTGAGGATTTAAGGGCCAAGTTATAAGAAATCTTCGTTGATATTATTACTGTTACTGTTTAATTACATGGTAATTGTGTTGTTGATTATAATTTTTATTACAGTTAAGCACAAATAATTATAAAGTAACTAACGGTAAAGGTTTTTTTATATTAGCATATTAATATAATTGATATGTATTTTCCTGTTTTATTGGTTGTTATTTTATATAATTGTCTTTAATAAATTTTAAAATGTATTGCTTTTTATTCTTATTTGTGGTCATTATATTTAAAGAATTTTCTATCCATTTCGTTCAATTTTACAAGATAAAAGTTATTAAATACAGAAGCAGTTAGAAATAATTACACAGAGGAGAAAAAGTAGAACTATGTTAAGTAAATTTACATACAGGGTGTTTCAAAATTTTAAGTCGTTAAAAGCAACATTTTTCATCGTAATTATTTTTTTTTTAGTTTTGAAGATAATATAATTTTATGCGATTATAAATTTTTGTTACCCTGCTACTGAAGTATTAGTTGAAACACTTAGTTGAGTTACTAATAAAGAAATGAGGCACAAAACATGGGAATTAGTGATACTATTTCTGTTAATAAAAAATTTTAATACAGTAAATTATTCCATAAAACATTCTTTTATATGACTGGTATTTCTTTCACTCATTAGCAACGTGTTAATCTTATTTTCATGCGAACACAACTTCAGACAAAAGTGAGGTTACGTACAATTTTTTACCCTAATGTAACTTTTAATGATTTAAATATGTGGTTAAAATTCTGGCATGTAGCTTATAACGTACAGCAATCAGCATCAAATACTTATTATTACAGATAAGTGATATTTATCGTGAGGGTCAAGAATCAAGATAGCAAGTACATTATATCAAAATTATTGTGTAGTGTATTACATTATAAAAACAAAAATATTGTTTTTCCATTTGACCGTGAAACATCACTAAATATAATTATACAAATATTTATATGTAGTCGGTACTGCGATAATTTGAATATGTTTCTAAACTGTATTGAAATTTTTTTTAATGAAACGTAAAAGTTATCGTGATTAAAGAACAAGCTTGATAGATTTTAATAAATTGCATATTCCTTTATTAAAAGAGAAGAAAAGGTGGCAACTTTTCAAATATTTCACGATATAATTAAAATAATTGATGTTCAACCTAAATAACATAAGTCTTATGGGGAAATGCACAAACAAGAAGACAGTCTTTAAGTGAAAATAAGTAAAACGTTTATAAAAACCTGGTTTTGAACATAAAAAAAAATATAAAACTATTTAAGTCGTCAGTCCCGCGAAAAACAACTACTCCGAGGGCTATTTGCCCCTACCGGCATTGAATTACATTCGCGACACCCAGTACAACAGCTAGGATGGGTGACATTCATGCAATAAAAAGTACCTGGCAAATTTTAGCAGGTCGCTTCCACCGTAGTAGCCATTTGAATGGCATAGTGGAAGTCAGCGCGATAGATGGAGCCTTTGTGCTTCGCGTACTATAAAACTATGGTTTAACATTGTTATAAGCAAAAATAAATAAATAAAGAAAGAATAACAAACCTTGGAAAATTATTTTTAACGAAGTTGCAGATAAAATTGGAAATAATAATTTTCAAGTGAAATATTGTAACTAAGAAAAAAGTATGGTTATGTGTAGAATCTGATGGTGGACACTATACAGGGTGAAGTTGCGCGCCTGAGGAGTTATTAGACCCCAAAGTATGGCCCTAAATTTCGAAAAAAAAAAAAAATATCTACAACACTTTACCGTAGAAGATCCAAATTTGGTACACGATTTAGGTTTATTAATGGTCTTTTTTGACTATGATTTAAAGTTAATTGAAGCACTACAAGATGTTCATTGGGGACGACTCACCCCTAAAATTTTACCGAACTTTTTTTCATTGACTGAATTGAAATATAGTAATATTAATTAGCAGCAGAATTTAATTTAAAAAATTTTTTTTTACTCTTGTTAAATTTTAAAAAACTTACGTGACACAAGATTTTAACAGAGTTCATTAGAAAATAATAAAAAAGTCATTATGTGTTCCTTAAATATTTAAAAAATTGTTTTTTCTTCAAGGCCTATATCTCGAAAACAGCGCATTTCTAGACTAATGTTTATACAAACTTTTTTGTTTACTTTTACACTATTAGTTCGTGGACCACCATGTATATTTTCAGGGGCGGCTCTTGACTTCCATACCAGGGAAGGCGGAAAAATTTAGGTATAAAGTATGGAAAAAAAATTAAATATAATTGAGTAATTTTATTTTAAGTACTATTGAAATATAGGGAAAATGTGTTCAACACTATTTTTTATAGTGAAAATCCATTCTGCTTTTGGCCAAAATAAACTTTTCAATTATACTTTTCCATTAATGTTTGGTATTTCTGGCACCATTGATTTTTCAATATCTTTACTGTTAGTCTATCTTTACAATCAATTTAAATTTTTACAATCTTTTAAAAAATACACAAGAAGCATGAGTAACAAAATTTTACACCTCGCCTGAACAAATTACGTTTAATAAGAAAAAAACCGCGAATAACTACTATTTGGTTAGGGTTAGACTAAACAGAGCCAAAGTGCATAGTAAATATGCGCTACTCCCACTCCGTCTTTCACTGCTCTGCGACCATGATCACCATTGTAATCACGTTGCATATGTAGAAGCAAGCTACGCTGAGCCAACGTATTCAAGAGTTTTTCAAATGATTTTTGCAAGTTGATGTAAATTGACTGCACATTACAAATTTAACATTTCCTTTTTAATGTGTTTCATAAGATTCATTTATTTAATTATCCAGATAACATTGTAAATTAAATTTTATTGCTGTGAAAATTCCTTGGGAGGGCGCCACCCCAGTGTCCCTCTGCACCAGCTGCCATTGATTATTTTATTAGTACAATGTAAAAAATGACAAAAAAATTATAACCTTGCTCTGTTTCATTTTCAGTACTATTTTACGTATCTGACATATATACGTACAGTAGTGGGGTAAATATTGGTCCGTCAAACCAGTCCGAAGCCTACTTCAACGGTTCATCTTATTTAAGACTGCATACTATAATCTCTCTAAAAAAACAAACCGGATTGAGTTTTCGAACATGTTACGGTAAGTATAATTGAGCAAATGCCCCTCATTTTTAATAGTACATTTTATTATTTTTTCGTTTTATTACATCATTAATTTTATTTAGTTTTCTACCAAATTAAACTCGGAAACTTAAAGTAATAGTAAAAAAATGAGCGAGTTTGTTCATCGATCTAATGATGTTATATATTTTATATTATTGTTCCAGGTGGTAGCTTATTTTCTCAGAAACAAAACGAAGACCTGATCAAACTGGCCGTAGACTCGGAGGGAATCATATTTTCAGCTAAAACTGGTGGAAAAGTATACGATCACGTTATTCTAGGCAATTTTTTAGACAATAAATGGCACACAGTTTACTTGCAGTACCGACTGGGCAACTTAACCATCGATGTTGATGGAGAAACATCGGTAAATATTACCACACACTTATCTAAAACAAATTTGAATGATTTAATAACGTATTTTAGGTAATAGCCAACTCTACATATCGGAACGAATTACTCGTTAGCCCTGGCCTATATAATGAAGGAGCAGCGGTACTTTTAATTGGAAAACAGTTCAATGGTTGCATTTTGGAAGGACCTTCTGTTGTTTTTGATCCCAATATTATCTCTCCTAATCACAACGTAGTATTCGAAGAATGTCCGATACCCTACGACAGCTGTAAGTATACATATTCGTCAGTATTTCATAATATAAATCCAGTATCTAGGACAATTTGCATATAGGAATTACAAATGTGGCCAAATATTTTATTGTTTCTTTTGTCTATTTTCAATATGAAAAATCATAAAATCGGTTCAGTCATTTTGATATTCCCTGACAAACTTGAAGTTGATGAGATTAAAAGTTGTCATTCGTAAATTGTTTGGGTCTTATGTATGTCCAATTAATTTTGCAAAGAGCACTAAAAAGTTGTTTTTATTAATTTTATACTTTTACACCAAGAGGTGACACTATTTTTATGAATCATCCTATAGAATTTTATTGTGTTTTATTAATTTCTTTTGTAGTTTGATTTATGAAAAATGCCTCAGGTTTCTGTAATTCGCGATATTTTGACATAAATTACAGTTGCAGGCAAATTAAAATCTTTAGAAGCTGTATTGAGCAATGCTTATTACAGTACAGATATTAATTCTGGGGGAGTTTCTACAATAGGCTTATTTTCGAACTTTTTTTTATGAGATAATATGAAAGACTACGTTATTTGTATTCGATAGATATCAAATACTATAAGAAATTCGGCCCGCATCACATCGAAAATAATTATTGAAGCTACGGGACTGTGACGTCAGCACTTCCTTCGCGCTACCAGTCTCAGTTTGCCAGCCACCTGCATTGCCATTACACTGGACGCGGACGGCGCGGCTGTCAGTGGAGCGAGAGTGACTAGTGTTTTACTTTAACGTATAGTGTGGACAAATAACAGCGACATTAGACATTAGATTATTTCATAATGGATAAAACGCATTACAAATACTGTGTTGTGCCTAAATGTCAAAGTACAACAAAGACTACTCCTAATAATGTTTTTATTTGTTTACCAGCTGATTTGAAACTTCACAGACAATGGCAAACAGCTATTATTATTTATTATTTAATAAAAGATGTCATATAAGTTAACATATAAAAAGTGTATATTTACAGATATATGTATGTATAGAATCGAATAAAAAATAAACTTATTATTAGTTAATTTAACAGCTATAATTTATTATGTATAAAGTTACACCAAAATGATTGTATTTCGTCTAATAGTTGATTTACCATGTCTTTATTATAATGAATATGTTTTATCACAATCTCCTTAGTCTCCTCAAAATCAGGAGACGCTACAACAAAGAGGGCATCTATTATTTTTGTCAAATGCATCTGTAACTGTACTTGATACATAAACTTTAATTTTACGTCTTCATCTTTATCAATATAATTTTTCACGGTATTTCGCTTCTAGGACATTTTATTTCCACTATAACATTATTATTTATAGCGTCAGGACTGGCTCCTACAATAGGGCATTCTTTACATAAAAATATACCAGCCTTCTTGTATTTTTGTTTAGTGTTTTCTGATAAGACTTTTAGTACCTCTCTTTCTAATCGCAAACCCCGTTCCATATCCGAAGTTTGCAATACTTTCGCACCAAATATTTTTTCTATTAAAAGTCCCGTCCATAGTTTTGCATACACTCTAGAAGCGGTAACTCGCCCGTACCTCATTTCGTGCAATAAACTATTATTGCTTTGCCCTTTTGTGTTTTTTTCCAGCTATTTTTTCATCAAACAGGCACTTTGCAAATTCTAAAAATTTGTGAGCATTATTACTATCAAGCGCCTCCTCTTTAAACTTTAAGACTAAGTTGTGAAGTACTAAGCGACAAGCGTGGTCTCTTGGAAAACAAAATCGGTGCTGATCTCTGTTCGCGGCTCGCGGCGTCGATGATTTTTAGTGCCTGTCGCATAGGCACGGGCGGGCGAAGGAAGTGTTGACGTCACGCAGTCCCAGCCGGGTCTCACTATGTCCTCAATTTTTGACCGCAATAATTTTTTTAAATGCAAATTTCTTGTGGTACACTTATTGTTAACATATTTATTATACATTTTGAATAAAAATAGGGAAAAATAAAATTTTGTGAATGAGCCTATTGTAGAAAGTACTTTCATTATTCAAAAGAAAGCTTTGATGTTGTTCATGTTTATTGAAACAAAGACAATATTGTAGAAACATATTTTAAATAGAAATATTTACTCATACCAATATGTTTATCTTCCACTTAGTCATATTATTAATTAAAACATTCCTCGGATGTACACGATTAAAATAAGATACAATAAAATTGTACCAACCTTGCACAATTACAGAAAGGAACTTTTGTATATGGGTACAAAGATCTTAAACCACTTACGGGCCAACTTTAAAAACTTTTAAATCTGATTAAATGCTACTATAAGTGTTCTAATTTTTCTGTAACATCTGCAGCTAATATTTATTATGCAGATGTATATTTTTGTTTATCGTTTAATTCATTTGATTTTAGGTGTCCCGAGGGAAAAAATCGTAAACCAAGACTACTGCCTCCACGAACCTTGCATGCGGCATGGTACCTGCTTAAGCGGTCAGCAGACCTACACCTGCGCTTGCCTGCCCCGTTACACGGGAAAAAATTGCGAGATCGACCTAGGGAATCCTTGTGAACGGAATCCGTCCTTATGTAAGAATTCCGCCACGTGCATACCGGACGAAGTCGGCGATTACTCTTGTCACTGCGCTCCTGGGTTCACGGGAAGGCGCTGCGAATATGAGATAAAAATTCATCCCAAGTGTAGGAATAACGTATGCTTGAATGGGGGTACTTGCGACGTTGATTTGGAGACGGATACTGTCTTGTGCCATTGCAAGCCGGGATATAGCGGTTTGAACTGCGAGATCAACACGGACGAGTGTAATTCGAGTCCTTGTCTCAACGGAGGGTTCTGCATCGACGGTTTCAACAATTTCACATGCGACTGCACTCATACGGGTTACAAAGGACGAACCTGCAATATTAACATAAACGAATGCGTGAACAACCCTTGTTCAAATCAGGGTACTTGTTTCGATACGTACGGATCTTATTTGTGTCAATGTTTGCCAGGATTTGGAGGAAGACATTGTCAATTTGTAAGTATTTATTAATTTATCAAAACGACAAGGATCTGCACAATTTTTTATACATATCTGCCACTAATCGCCAAATTTCACTCGGTTTTTGTTAAAAACTTTGAATGCTCAAAGGTGCTATCTATACAGATATTCAGAATACAATTGACGTCTAAACTTTGAGCAATTGGTTTTTATGAAAACAAATTTATTTTTAACTCATACTTATGAGATACGACAAAATGTTGAATATTGCAATCAGGTTCTAACAATGTTATTTCTGGCGTTCATGAGGGTTCAATAATGTTCATTGAAAATAAAGGAAATTATTATTGACAATCACGATAATAATTCTCTTTTTGTAGAATGTAGACGAATGCGCGTCTCAACCTTGCTTCAACAATGGCATGTGCGTTAGCCGATCCGGAGGATTTGAGTGTCATTGCCATCTGGGCTACCTAGGAGATTATTGTGAGGTAGAACAGAGTCAGCAGCGGCAGTGCGATCCTAGCAGTTGTCCTCCATACGCAGACTGCATTAATGACGAAAGCTTGCCGATTTGCATTTGCAAGCCCGAATATCCCGGGGAGTTCCCTAATTGTAACATGGATTCCATCTGCGCGAGTAACCCTTGCATGAACGGAGGCAGTTGTGGTCTCTATAGGGGAAGCTATAACTGCACGTGCCCCCCTGGCTTTACAGGTAGGCAGAAACAAACTTTTTATATACTTAATTATAAAAATAACTTGTACGTTTAAATATAGTTGAATGCGAGTACATGATATTAATCGATAAATATTTTTAAAGCTGAGATGAAAAGAGTTTTAATTTTTTTATGGCAAATGTGATTTAAAAACTGAATACATCACGAAACTAAAATAATAATAATAAAAATGGTGTCTGCAGTATAAGTGCCATATGTTGAATATGTAATGTTTCTATTGTTTGCGTTGTTGAAGAATTTTCGTCACATGTGAGTGATTATTTGAGACTACAATGAGTAGTCTGCATATATACATTGTTTAAATATTGGACAGCGCCTAGAAAAATGTGTGCAGGAAGTCCTACATGTAAATATCATATTATTTATTGCATATTCTAAGGAACGTCAAAAAAGTTCAAATAATTTAACCGATTAGTCTTCTGGAAAAAACAAATATCCGAATGAATTATTCTGTTATGCCGCAGACCAAACATTAATAGAAAACTTGTGCCAATCAACAATTTGCACAGAGTGCGCAATTTGGGAAACAATGAAAACAACAGAAAATGAATCACACTTGAATATCGTTCATTTTGGATTTATGTTGCATACAACTTTGTTTAATTTGATTTATACTTTCTGTATTAAACATATCACTTATACTGCGCTATATATTTTGAAAGATTGCTGCAAAACATTTCCAATTCGAAATTTAATATATCTAATTGTGATTTGGAACTAATAACGATTGAAAAACTATTTTTCTTAAATCTCTTTCCGTCCAACCCTTTTTAAACATTCCTACCGCTGGTCAAACTTCTCTTTATTGCTTCCGTACTTCTTGCATGCCGCTTACTATTAACACCACCCAGGCCTTGCATGTGATGCGGTCAGTCATTGTAAAAAGAGTTACTGTAAAAACGGTGGATTTTGTCTCGGTGGCATTATCGCATTAATTTGTACTTGCCTCGACGGCTGGACTGGTCCTCGATGCGATATACAGTCGCAGTGTGTCAGTAATCCATGTTATCGCGCTACGGATTGTCGAGACTACGTAAGTAAATGAAGTATAGAAATGGTATTAGTATTCGCTAGCTCGAGCAAAGCGAGAATTTATTTAATGTTAGATTAGGTTAAGAATTTATTTAATAATAGAATTTCGCAATGTTGTAAAAGTATTACAAAATATGGAATCTAGCAAGAGGACTGTTGAAATATCAATTTTTTTTAAATCTGTAGTGGAGTAACCGACCTTTCTATTTATTTATAACTTTTCAAATCTATATTGGCAACGTGACGACAAACAATAATAAAATTTTGCTTACAATTAGCTAAATAATATAATTTTTTCCATATGAGTATACAAGGTGCAACTTTAAATGGGGGTCATATCTACGGAGGCTATCTTTGACCTTTAGAAACACATATAAGTTTGTTTAGAAAATTTTTTGTAATTTTTTTATATACAAAAATTGAGCACATACATATTTTCTAGTTAAGGTATACATTGTTGTCAAATCTCATCTTTTTGAGAATTTGAAATTTAATAATGAAGACACACAAAAACATTGTACCATCGTTAAACACTGAAACACACATTTTGATCAGTTTTTATAATAAGTTGTATTAAATTTAATAACCTCAATTTATTATTATTTCAATAAGATTAGGCACATTGTAAATAACTCGTCGTATGTGTGTATCCATATTGAAAAATGAAGTTACATGTGGTACATCTTATCGTAGTAAACCCTCATTAAGAATTGGCAGGTACAATGACTTAAAGATCAAACTGAAATTACAGTCAACCTACAAAATCGATGAATTCTTTTGTACCCAAACCGCTCATTTAATCAAAATTCTATGATAGGCCCAAAAACTTCCAAATGGTATCACCTATCAAATAAAAAATAGTTGTTACTATTGCCCGATATTGAACGGACATTTTCGCCATACATCAATTTTGTAGGAGTTGTGAGTTTTAAAAAACACTCTGTATAACACCAACATTTGTAGATTGAAAGCAAAAGTTCACACCCCCAAATCCCCAAATATAATCAAAATCGAATAATACATATTCGAATTATTTACAAAATTTAAAAAATTTTCATGAGCTTTGAGGCCATTTAGCAGTCAAACGAAGTGATTTTGTGAATTAGCCTAAATCTGCCTATTTTGAGTCCACGAATCTGTGGTTTTCCAATTACTCGTATACAACTGACCCCCTGTTTAAGTTTTCCTGTACATTATTGGAAGAATTATGCATGATAATTTTTTATCGATCATCATTTTTGCACAGTTTATTATTTTGCTGATGTTTTTTGCTTACATATTTTTTCTGTGGAAAATTTTCGGATTAAAAAGCACCAAAAGTTTCTTACGATCATCAAGTATCGTTATTGCTACATTTGCACGAGATATATTCATATTTTTGCTGCTGCCGTACACTTACGAGCCACTTAATCCACAGCTGGGTGGCTACTACTGCACTTGTGAACCAGGTTGGACTGGTTTGAACTGCGACATAGAATTAGGACTATGTCACCTCGATCCATGTCTAAACTCTGGCACCTGTATCGATCACGGCTGGTATTTTTCTTGTCTGTGCGCACCGGGGTTCAAAGGTAGTAGAGTTTGTGTTGTGTGCTTTGTGGCTTTGCTAATCTGTATGGTTTTTTTTGGTTACGTTTTGTTTATTCAGCTTGGAAAGGCATTCCACACATTGAAGTATTGAAAAAATATATAGAAGAAAAAACGATAATGTTAAACTTTGACAATAATGTGCATACAAATATACAAGCATTTGAAAATGCATACACTTACAATCTACCAGAGATACTGCTACAGCAATTTAAACTGCTTATTTGAAATGTTTGTTCTAAATTTTTCATTTTACTGTTAAGTACATTTATGATAAAGTTGTTTTATGCTACTTGTAAGCAACATAATAGAATGGCCAGCCTTAAAATTTGCATGTAACGGATCAATTTTAATTGGAATGTATTTTGCTGTCATCGCATAATATGCTACGCCGTCTTTTCAACTCTCATTTCTTTGAGTTTAGGAATCAAATGTCAAACGAACATCGACGAGTGTGCATCGAACCCTTGCCTGAACGGGGCCACATGCGTCGACAGGATCAATGGCTTCTACTGCAACTGCACCGACCAGTGGATGGGCGTCATCTGCGAGAAACCCTACGACGTTTGTGAATTGGGACCTTGCAGGAACAACGGCACTTGCATAACTTTGCCCAACAAACACGACTTCACCTGCCAGTGTCTAAAGGGATTCACGGGAGAGATTTGTGAGATTAACATCGACGATTGCGAGGGCATAAGTTGTCCGCCGGGTCAAGTCTGTGTCGATTTGGTCAACGGTTTCGAATGCAGGTGTCCGCCCGGTTACACAGGCCCGGATTGCAGTTTGGACGTGGACCCGTGCGCCAAGGAGCCGTGTCACAATGGGACGTGTAATTCAGATCCTGTCACGCACCAGTATAGCTGCAATTGTACCGGTACTGGTTATACAGGTAAGAATAAAACAATTGAAGGTAGTATAACTTTCGGTATATTTAAAAAAGCATTTTTTTTACTCAGTTAAATTCAACTTTATTTTTGACAGATTTTTACTAACAATTTCTTTCCACTCATCATGTCATCACTTCCTCTTTGCTTTAAGAGTTGTAATTTTATACAGTTGTGACTAAAATAATGCAGACGGTGATAGATATCTATAACAGGGGTGTTCTATTTTTTTTTGTTGCGTTAGGAACAGTTAGTAGATAAGTTTGTTACACAGGGTGACCTGTTTGTATCTCAAAAAAACTGATGAGTGAATTTGTTTAGAATGATAATAGAAATAGTTCATAAATTAATGCAAAAAATTAAAGGGTCAAACGAATTTCCAAAAGTTTTCAGTGATTTTTCACAAACTGTATTTAGGTGAAAAATGAACATATCAAGAATTAAAAAAAAGCATTTTGAAGCTCCAAAATTCTAGTTTTTAGATCTTTTGGTCGAAATTTTTTAGGAGCTACGGTATCATGCTATTCTAAGAAATAGTGTGACAAAAAAATTTTGCAATTTTTATTTTCCGAGTCCACGGACTTGAAAAATTTTTTTCAGCTAAGCCATTGCATGGACCAGATAGCTTGCTTATTCAGCTTCAATTTCCTTTTTTTTTTATTTCGATACAACCATTTTTCATCGAAATATCGGACTTTTAATGGAAAAGGATCCTTTCAATCATCGAAATCTCGGCAACAAATGGTCATACAGAGAATTGAAAGGCAGTTTTGAAAACTGGAATAAATTTCCTAAACATGCTGCCACAACTTTTCGGTACATTTTTTTCTTTTCATCTTTTACGCGAATTTTAAAAAACAGGAATGGTTTTTCAGAATAGAAGGCTAAATCAGAAGTTAAGCATGACTTTTACAGTTCGATATACCCAGAAGAACCCTCTGAAGTTTCATCTCGATCTAACGAACCGTTTCTTTGTTTCACTCAAACTTTTGAAAAAAATTAAAGGGTCACGTTTTTTGAGCTTCATAATCATGATTAAATTGGAAAAAATTTTTTTTACAGGTTCACGTTTTTACTGCAAATGACCTTTCAATTTTTTAAGTTTTTTTTTTGTTTTTTTGGAAAATCTTCTGGACATTGAAGAAAACAAAATCCAATTGTTTCCAGCACGATTTGGCTTTTCCGTCCTATGCTTCTGGTCATCAACTTTTAATTAAATTAAAATTAAAGTTGATGACCCAAACCAGATTTCGACTCCGATTCAACCGTTTTTTGAGACAAATTTTCTAATTTTTGTGCAGTCTGTAATCATTTAAAAAACAGTTTTTTTCAAAACAACCCTTTTTCTTCTCTGAAAAAAAAATTAAATTTAAATGGTTGATGATCATGATTATGAAGTATTTAAGCTCAAAAAACGTGACTCTTTAATTTTTTTCAAAAGTTTGACTGAAACAAAGAAACGGTTCGCTAGATCGAGATGAAACTTCACAGGGTTCTTCTGGGTATATCGAACTGTAAAAAGTCATGCTTATCATTAGTCATTTCGTTAATATTTCTAATTTAACCTACAATTTTCTAAAAAACCATAATTACCCTTGTTTTCTTGTTATTTATGCGGCGGTTTTGATGTTGTTCTTTTGTTTGTGAATGAGTGTGTAAATTATTAGACCTTAGTAGACTTGCGATATCTAGCTGCTTCCTGGTTTCTTGCTACCTTGTAGGTTGCGACGTTAATCCTTTGGGAGTCGGCAAGGCAACATACATACAAAACAACACTAGGAAATGGGAGGTAGGTTTTTTTGTAAATGAAAAGACTGATTGTTAATGGAAAGAACACTTTGAACCCAGTGATGGCGTACGTAAACATAGTGAAGAAAGCATTTCGGTTAGCTCGAGAGCGTAGAAAGTTTATAGCACATCGGGAATGGATTTTCACACAGTACGGCACTCGGAGAATTGTTTATGGTTAATATTAAGTTTTCTGGAGCGGTGAAAAGGTTATAAACTGTCACTGTTTGCTTGTAAAGTTCGTTTGCAGCACTAAATCCTATAACTCCAACTTGGACGGTTAATTAATTACGCGTTTTTGGGTTGTTGATACTTCGACGATGAGTAAGCTGTCGAACAGGAGTAGACTTGCGTGAATGTTGGGGAAGTTATCGCTATGCAAGCGATTGTGCGACGATTGAATGTTTTGAAGGTTAATTGCGATTTGCAAAGTATGATGGGTATTTTGATACCGTTGTTTGATAATTATTATGACTGGATAGGCTGAGACGTGTGATAGCGACTGACCGGCCTCGTGAATGATTATCGACTGATTGACTTGGCTTAGTGGCGTGCGCTTTTATATATTCGCCTGAGGTAAACGTAAGCTCCACCTTCTACGTATTTCGCTTTCCTGCGCGTTCATTGGTTTGAGTTTCAATATAAAATCGCGTCGCGATTTTTCTGACTTATTCTGCTATAGACACGCTCGAGAGCATTCATTTTGGAAATTCTTTTGATCCTTTAATTTTTTGCATTAGTTTATAATGTTTTCATTATCATGATTTTTCGAGTCACAGACGGTTAAATTTGAAGATTTTAGGTTTTTCATAACTGCCTTTAAAGTACATGATCCTTGTGTCATCATGTGCTTCAGCACGATCTATAAAGTGTATCACACAACACTTATTTTAACCATTTCTCCTATAGGACCGACTTGCAATGTGGACATAAACGAATGTGACCGATTCAGCGAGAAAATCTGTAACAACGGCATCTGCGTTAACACCGAGGGTAGCTTCCAATGTTACTGCATGCCCGGCTTCACCGGAGAACGCTGCAACCTAGACTTTGACGAATGCCTGTCCATGCCTTGTCGTAACAACGCCTCCTGCATTAACCTCATAAATAACTACGAATGCATGTGCCCGCCAGGCTACGAGGGAAAGGATTGTTCAATTAACATCAATGAGTGTGACCCCATGCCGTGTGCGATGGGTTCCACCTGTATCGACGGCATAAACGAGTTCACTTGTAAATGCCAGCCGGGTTTGACGGGGAAATTGTGCGATATTAACATCGACGATTGCGAATCGTCTCCGTGTCGTAACGGAGGCATCTGTAGGGACGGCTTGAACAGTTACAGCTGCGACTGCAGTAATACGGGTTACGAGGGGTTGCACTGCGAGAGCAATATAGATGATTGCAAGGGGAATCCCTGTCACAATGGAGCATATTGTGAGGATCTCATCAACGATTACAACTGCAACTGTTATAGGGGATACAAAGGTAACATACGTTTTATCAGTGAACTACTCTTTAGTACCTTTACACCAGCAAAATTAGCGAAATTAAAAGAGAAACTCGAAAAAAGTCCTATCCGCGAGATTATTGTAAAATTGTCTAAAGGAACATAATACAAGACATCTCTCATCTCGTAAGTCAAAAACTTTTATTAGCTTTTTCACTTTGCTGGGAAAACCATCGATTTTAGCGAAAAGTGACTCACAGACCACATTACTTTAATTTTACATTTAAATCGTAATTAAATAGCTAACAAAATATTGAAAAACAAGTTTACTTTGCCTTAATATGTAAAAAAATAACTTTTTAAATGAACGATAGTTTCATTTATTTATTTAATAATAGTAAAATAATTCCGAAATTGAAATTTTAATTAATATTTCGTTTAACAATAATTTTTGTGACATTTTTGTAATTTAAAAAAAATTAATTATAAAAGATGCACTTTTTCTGGGGTTCAGGGCTATTCTACGAATTCGTAAATTTGCCCATTGTAATTTTTTCATCGAGCTACCCCAGATAAAAAAGAAAATAAGTAATATTGCAAAATTTACAGCGCACATCAATTTGAACTTTAGAATTAACTTTTCTCGCGCGCGCGTCCGCTTGGACGAGCTTCCCCCACCACCATGCCGCCTGCGACCGGACAGTTTACTTAGCGAGTACCTTCTCTTTAAAGGGCTCGTAAGTCATTAATTTTCCACATGTTTCAGTGCAATTCACGGGAAATCGTAGTTTACGTCGTAAACTGTATTTTGCAAAAAATTCAAGTCTTAATATTTATAAACAATTGTGCTACGATTTTTTAAGAAAAAATTCTTATCTTGGCTCCTGTTGGTTGTAGAGGGTACTTTTTTTATTTTAAAACTGTATTTTTTTGCCAGCTATCCATTGCATCTATTTTCGGTGAGAATAGCAATAGCAACAATTTTATTCAAATTGTTTATAAGCAAAAAACGCACGTTTTTTTAATGCACAATTTGAGAATGTTAATGTCAAAAAAACGGTGATATTATTTAATAGGTCACTTAATTACGTTTTTAAGATTACAATGACGATGTGTAAGAAAGGTCCGCAATGTGATAAAATCTTTAATATGTACTTGTATTTTCACTATGGGTATAATTCATGATGTAAATACATCCAATGAGACTTTACAAAATTACAAATATTTATGATATATTTCATTTAAATCCGTACATTTGCATATACCGTTTTAGAACTGATGTTGACTATGCATGCACACCAACAAATTGCGAGTTTGTCAAGTCATTTTTAAAAAATGCACCTTTAACAGTTTCTGCTAAAAAAATAATGTCGAATGATGTACATAAAAGCAATATGTGATTTCTCTATATCTCTAAAATTTTACATTTGAAAACTATTACAATTTTTATCGCGTTTGTAAAACTGGTGATTGTAATTTAGAATAAAATCTCATTTTCTGAAACATCTAAAATGTATAAAACGCACTGAAAATAGAAAAAAAAAAGATAGTATAAAGCTAAAAATTGATATAATTGAAAAATCCTAAAATTGATGACAAAATTTCGCATATGACACATCAGACAGAAATAGTGTACAGCCTGTGCATCTTTTAAAAAACAATTTGGTTTGTTTACTTTTAGGAAAGAATTGCGAAATAGACATCAACGAATGTGAAAGCAACCCATGCCAATTCAACGGCACCTGCCTGGAGAGATCGAATATGACTCTCTATAATCCGAACATAATGTCACAGTACAACATCACCCTCCCGGACTCATTCTATCGCCCATTTAACTTCTCCGATGCCTACGGCTACGAGTGCCTCTGCGTACCCGGAGTCACCGGCCAAAACTGCGAAATAAACATCAACGAATGCGAAAGCAATCCATGCCACTACGGAACCTGTTCAGATAAAGTCGGCCATTACATTTGTGAATGCGACGAAGGCTACGAAGGGGAACACTGCGAGATAGACATTGACGAGTGTGACAAGTACAGGCCTTGTATATACGGAAGCTGTATCGATCAAGTAGCCACGTATTTCTGTAGTTGTAGTCCCGGGTACGGAGGGAAGAACTGTTCCGTTGAACTCACGGGGTGCGTATTTAACAATTATTTTCAAACAGTAGATTTTTGTTTCACAACAAATTGCGTAAAAAATTTGAACTACTTACTCCTATATTTCAACGTTCCCTACGTTTACGTCGTTCTCTACTATTCCCCAATTACTAATACAACATTGAGATATTTTTTTCGTGTAGATGTATTAACAATCCCTGCAAAAATGAGGGCCACTGCAGACCGTTCCTCCTCAACGAAGTCGAGCACAAGTTCAACTGTACCTGCCCTAACGGGTTCCACGGACTCACCTGCGAAACTATAACCACCATGTCGCTGTCAGGCAACTCCCTTGTTATCATCAACACTAGCAGAGAGGAGGGTTACGACATACAGTTCCGATTTAAAACCACCCTTGGAGACGGATTGTTGGCCCTGGGCAAAGGGCTAACTTATTATATTTTGGAACTGTCGAAGGGACGGTTGAATTTGCATTCGAGCCTACTGAACAGGTGGGAAGGGGTATTTATCGGCTCCAACTTAAACGACAGCAACTGGCAGAAGGTTTTCGTCGCTATTAACTCTACACATTTGGTTCTCTCGGCGAACGACGAGCAAACCATCTACCCCATTAATTACAATGAGAATAATAACGTCACTTCCACCAGTTTTCCGGTGACCTACATTGGAGGTGAGTAACCCCTTGTGTAACGTTAACGTTTAGTTATTTCGAAAAATTATTGGCATAATTTACTGAAATTAACAATTATTACAAAAATAAATATACATTCTTTTTTTAAACCCTGTATAATCTACTAAATTTAATAAGTATTTATTTTGTCATCTTAGGCACACCAAGTAATCTTAGAAAACTCACCCACGGCCAGCCATCCCTGGTGGGATGTACCGAGGACGTTATGATAAACGGGGAATGGGTTGTGCTACCGCAAGCCCAAACCAGAGGCGCGCCTTGGCTAACATTCCAAAACGTCGACATCGGTTGTTTGCGAGAACCTCAATGCGACCCAAACCCCTGCCATTCCGGAGGCCACTGTACAGACAGATGGCGCGACTTCAGTTGTACCTGCGAACGCCCCTATCTCGGTCACACGTGCCAATACAACTACACCGCCGCTACGTTCGGAAACGAAAAAATTATAAATTCCTTAGTTACGGTAGAAGTGGCGGATTACGCCCGCCGTGCCGTGAGGTCCATCGTGGATTTGAGTATGTTTATAAGAACTAGACAGCCGAAGGGACAGATATTTTATTTGGGATCCGGTTTGTTTTCCAGTCCTCAAACGACATCGTCTCGTGATACTTGCATATGTGCTCAGTTGGAGAGCGGCGAATTAAACGTACAGATCCAGTTTGACGGGCCTTCGGAAAGTTATACCGTCGGAGGGGTGAAACTGGACAACGGATATAACCATCTGATCGAGGTAAGAAAGCAAACAGAATAATTTAGCTAAATTAGGACAATGTTGGAAGTCATAGACACAGATTCGTAAATTAAACATAGTGCTTTAAAATTCTTATACAGGGTGTATAACGTTTTACAAAATTATTTTCCGTTGCTGTAAACATTTCAAAACGGAATTGTAACTTGAATTTATAAAAAATTTATTTCAAATTAATATTCTGGGGAATATATTATTACCCTTAGGGAAAAAAAATTGTCCTCCACTTAATGTTACAACCCTCTACCCAGAATGAATAATATACAATTTTTTGGCTGCGATAGCACACATGTCTGTTCAGTTTATTTCTTTGTAGTAATTTCTTAATTTCTTTTAAGGTTATTCGAAACGTTACTTTGGTCCAAGTAAAACTGAACGGAACAGAATATTTTAGGAAGACAATTTCAGCTACGGGAACTTTAGACGCCCAAAAGCTGATCTTAGGGGGCCACCCACAGACGCGCATAGTTCGGCAGACTAACGAGAACATGGCAGTGGCTAAAATGGAATCGGCACTGCCCACAGCTCCCGCCTCAACTACTACGAACCTCGGCAATGTCCCGTTCAAGGGAATTATCCAGGACGTTCAGATTAGTAACGGTTCTTCCACGATGATCGTCGAATTCTTCCCCTTGGAAGCGCTGGATCTAGACATTCCGCCATCATTTGGTAACGTGTCTTTTGATAGAAACACAGTTTTAGAAGGAGTCGTTTCTGACGATTCCTGCCGGTTAAAGCCCTGCAGCCACGGAGAGTGTGAAAATACTTGGAACGACTTCAAATGCAATTGCCCGAGGGGTTTCAAGGGTAAAGAGTGCAGCGAATTAGAATTTTGTGAATTGGAAAGCTGCCCGAATAACTCGACATGCAAAAATCTGGAAGACGGGTACGAATGTATAGCGAATAGTACCTTCAATGGTCTACAAGAACCGTTGAAGTACCACTTTACCAGCTTAACTCCAGAAGAGTTTGGTATTGAATCTCTAGAACTAAACTATCGAACACGCTCGTGGGGCACGATGTTATTCGCAAAGTACAAAGAGAACTACTTCGTGGTGTTCATTTACCACAACGAGGTGGTAGTCGAATTCAGCTTCAATGGACGCAACGTCACGAGCAGATTCCGAAAAGACAGATTCGAGGGACAGTGGATATCTTTGTTCTTTATCTTCAAGGGTGACACGGTCAGGGGTGGTTTTACGGAAAATGTCATCGACGAATCCCCCGATTTTGAAATCACCGCTTTCGACTGGCACACTTTTACTGAACTACTTAAATTCGGAGAGCTGTACATCGGTGGTAGCGACAACAAAACTTTCGATTATGTAACCGTTATCGAAAATACTGATTACAACATGACAGGATACGTTCCCGTCAGCGATACGACGACGGTCGAGTCGTTTATCAGCAACTCGTTAGAGAATGGCGGGGAGTACTTTTCCGAAGATGTTCTGCTGTATAAGGTGGACAGGGATAAGAAAACAGATAATTTTAAGGTATGTTTTTATGGATTTTAGATATTACATTCATTATTTCCGAAATTTTGGTTTCGGTACGTTTTTAGCCACTTTTGTTTAGCCCAAGGTTGCCGAAGATATACAAAAACTTATTTCAGTTAGCATTTGAAAGAGTCTTGTTTTTTGCTATAAATTTTTTTTAAATTAAGAGAAAACATATTTTATGAAACATTTATTTACTACAAAAAAAACTATGCTTGTTGCATGTCGTTATAGTGCATCGTTTAAAAAAAAATGATATCAATCTGGTTGCGGATATAACTTACAAAGAGTCTATTCTGTAAGCGCCTGGGTTAAATTTGACGGATGGTTAAAATTCTAGATTTTAACGTTTTCCTGTAAAGTTCTTTTTAACGGACTAGTTAACAGTCAAAATTTTAGCGTGTCTGTTAAAACAATCGTGGTTATTCGGAAATTGTAGTTCAAACGTGCTCAAACAATTGCACGCAGAAGAAGAAGAAGACAAAGTAATGATATTTAACCTAACTTTTTATTGTTCATGTCTCTGAACCCACTTATTATTTCTTCTTTTTCGTTAATGTTGACAGGAAACAAGAATGTTTATTAAAGGACTTTACAGAATACTTCGTTTACGTTTTACGGCAAGCGAATGAGAGTGGGAGTCACTTGCATATATCATATAACCTTAAAACTCGTAATAACATAACCAAACCATGATCAACTTACTTTAGGGTCTATTCTGTAAGCGCCTTAGTTAAATTTGAGGAATGGTTAAAATTCTAAATTTTAACGTCCTCTATTCTATAAAGTTTTTTTTAAAGAACTAGTTAACAGTTGAAATTTTAGTGCGTCCGTTAAAGCGATCGTGGTTATTCGGATTCAAACGTGCTCAAACTATTTCACACAGAAGAAGAAGAAGATAAAGTATTGGTATTTCACCTAACTTTTTATTGTTCATGTCTCTGACCCCACTCACTATTATTTCTTCTTTTTCGTTAATGTGGACAAGGAAAAGAGAATGTTTATTAAAGGACGTTATAGAATACTTCGTTTACGTTTTACGGGAAGCGAATGAGAATGGGAGCCACTTGCATATATCATATAACCTTAAAACTCGTAATAACATAACCAAACCATAATCAACTTACTTTAGGGTCTATTCTATAAGTGCCTTGGTTAAATCTGACGAATGGTTAAAATTCTGAATTTTAACGTTGTCCTCTATTGTTCTTTTTAACGAACTAGTTAATAGTTAAAATTTTAGCGTGTCTGTTAAAGCGATCATGGTTATTCAGATATTGTAGTTCAAACGAAAAAGAAGACAAAGTATTGATACTTAACCTAACTTTTTATGGTTCATGTCTCTGAAACCACTCATTATTTCTTCTCTTTCGTTAATGTTGACACTGTTGACAAAAACGTTGTTATAGAGTCTGAAATTTCAGCTACACATCTGCTTACTGCGGGTTGGCTCACTGAAAAATTGTATCCGTGACCAACTGAGAACTGATAATTTCCTTGTCCAAATAAAATTCAAAGCTATTAAAACTCGAACATGTGGAGGAATTCTGGTTGCCCTTATAGGTCGATTTAAGTGTACAGTTTAAGCTATTGATTAGTTGCTGACAAGAATGTTTATTAAGACGAAACAACTTTAAAAATGTTATGTCTGGCAACTGGAAAGAATCACTGTTATCAAGAAGTTGTCTCTGCTCTGCTTTCTCTTCGAGAAGAAAATGGAAAATCGGACTGTCTAACCTCATTTTGATAATTATATGAATTTTTCAAAGTAAACTTACATTTGTCTATTATTCTCGTCAATTTCAACAAGTACCAGGGGAATAAATCCATCGAATGCCATATTTTATCTCTTCAGATTTTAATTTATACAAAAAAAAACTAGTTTAACAGTACCAATTTGGGAACCTTTAAAATTAACTTTTTACCGTCTAAACTTAACAGAAATGGTTAAAATTTTACTGAAAAAATGTCATACAGAATACCATTTCACTGGCTCTATTTAACAACTGTTAAAAATAACCATATATTTCATACAGAATATACCTAAAAATAACAGGCAACGAAATTTTAACCCCCTTTAAAATTTAACTTTCCTCTTACAGAATAGACCCTAAAGTATGTCATATCTTAAATATCAATGGTTGCCTACACAAAACATTGCTTTGTACTTACTGACAAAAAGCAACCTGCTAACCTGTCAGTACGTGATGAATATAGATCTAGGTGGAACAAACTTGGTAACAAATCTTTGTACCAATAGGCACAGTGACATAATTAGGAAGTTATACCTCACCTACAATCAAAATATATTGGTACATAAATATCCAAATATTTAACTATTTGGATATCTATTTACCAACGTATTCTAAATCAATTTATTTTCATCCAAAGAAGTTACCCTTGCAATATGTCGGACACCCTGTATTCAAAATGTTTATTAATTACTTGGACAGAAACAAAAAAAAATTAATCTTTCATTTCCACATACAAATTCTGGTAAGGTTGAATTACTTATTATTTACTCCTTAGGGCTGCCTAGGACAGATAAGATTCAACGGCGTGTTACTGCCCTACTTCACCACCAAAGAAATCTATTCCAACGAAAACTACACCTCCGTCTTATTCGAACTTGACCCTTCTTCGAAAATAAACCACGGTTGTATTCTGTGTTACAACAGCGACTGTTTCAATCAAGGAACCTGCGTAAATTACACGGACACATACAAATGCAACTGTAAACCCGGCTATGCGGCCGACGACTGCTCCATGGACATAAACGAATGCGAGAACAACCAGTGCCAGAACAACGCGACGTGTATCGACATGGTCGCCAAGTACGAATGTGAGTGTTTACTAGGATATGAAGGGGAACACTGCGAAGACGAAATAGATGAATGCTTAAGCAATCCTTGCAAGCACGGGGGCACCTGCAATGATCTCATTGGCAATTTTAAGTGCGATTGTCCCGAGAATTTCGTCGGAAAACAGTGTGAGGCTCCGTTACTGATAACCTGCGAGAACAGGCCATGTCGGGAAGGCGCCACTTGCAAGACAGGGCCTAATGAACAGACCGGTAATAATTTCACGTGTTTCTGCACCGAGGGGATGGAGGGACCACTGTGCGATACGGCTTACTGTATGAAGAAGCACTGCGAACAAGGACATTGCAATACGACAGGAGAGGTACCGTACTGTCAATGCACGGCAGGATTCGAAGGAAAATATTGTGAAATTAACATCGATGAGTGTGTATCGCCTACGGGAGGAAGTCCTTGTCAGAACGGAGGGATTTGCATAGATGGGCTGTCACGGTACGACTGCGACTGCAATGGCACGGGTAAGAATTATAGTTAATAGAATTAGATATAGAATTCGCATTTTAATGTTGTATATAAATTTTTTAAATATTTTTGATAAAGAAATTAGTTTATTCAAATTGGGAAGGTTATAAGAATAAGATTATAAAAATAAGGAATACAAAAAACAAACAACAAACAAAAAATTATATAAATGTCACTATATATAATAATGTATCGCTTTTTCCCTCTATCAGGATATACCGGACTGCTCTGCGAGATGGACATCGACGAATGCAGCACAATCCGAATGGCCTGCGGGAGAGCCGGCACATGCGATAATCTGCCCGGTTCGTACAGGTGCACCTGCGACAGTATTAAAGGGAAATGTGGTCACCAGTGCGACCTCGACGACCCCTGTGAGACTGAGAATCCTTGCGTCCATGGTACGTGTCTCTCCCAGTGCATAGATAAACCCGACTACATTTGCATCTGCGAAGAAAACTTCTCCGGAAAGAATTGTACCGATATGAAGGTAAGAGAAACACTGATACGTGAATAACTGTTCATAACAAACTCTGAAACCTACGTCTCGTCACCCGTTATGATGCGCGACAAAATGTATTTACACATTTTCCCTTTGTATATCTTAAATGCACCTGTTTGTTTTTAGGTTTCAGCTGGCCTAGACGATGGTGGCCTAAATATTCTGTACATAATAGTACCGATAGTCCTAGTCCTCGTAATAGCGTTTGCGATCAGTATGGCAGTTCTTGTGAACATCGCCAGGAGCAAACGAGCGACTAGGGGCACTTATAGCCCAAGCGCTCAAGAATTCTGCAACCCCCGGGTGGAATTAGATCACGTCCTCAAACCACCGCCCGAAGAGAGACTCATTTAATTTTAAGAATTCTCATCTACTATGTACTTAATTTTTCCACAGTTTTTTTAACACAATTCGACAGTATAAAAAAAGATGTAAAGTGCAACATTTTTTGAGAAATCTTCCATGAATAACAACATAAAAAGGCTGTTCAAGACTCGACCTGCGTTAAGTAAGGAAAATATGGCAGGTGCTGCAGAAAAATACTCAATTTACATTTTTAAAGAATATTCCCGGGCAATATACAAAATTATAACTTGCGCTTGTATTAACTCGACTTTTTAAAGTAAAATAACGAAGTTTAGGGAAGTGGTATTTTAACCGTTTTGTACTTAATTTTATGAATTAGACTCGTCTGTTTATACTCAATTAGTAGCTAATTTATAGATATTTATTTGACTTTTTATATAAGCTACAAAACTAGAAATTCTTATGAATACCGCCGTCCATGATAAAGCATTGTGATATAAGGGATTAAAAACTCGTACAGTTTTAGATTTTTGCTTGTAAATAATCTAAACCAAAGTAATTATGAAATGTACATATTTTATATATTCACATCTACCTAATGACCAATTTTTTTTTTAGGTAATTTAATAGTATTTGTATTTTTAAATATTGTAACGATGACATGTAATAAATAAAGGATTATTAATTTTAAAACGTATTTAATGCTTACTTTACTATATTCTAGCTTTTTTTAGGCAAAAATCTATCTAAAACGTGAGTAGGTCTTTTGTCCTTTTCTTCTTCTCGAGGTAACAGTTCCTTCTTCTGCCGTACAAACTCCTTTCTCACTTGTTCCTGCAAGATTTTCTTGTTCTTTGCCATTTTGACGGATCCTCCTTTACCTTTCGCTTTCTTCCTCGGTTCGTAATTTATTTTCGGGGGTTTGAGGTGCTGCAAAATTTTAAATATGGAGAGTGCAAGAAATATTAAAAGAAATACATACCAGTAATTTCTTTTTTGCTTCAACTTTATCCCTCAAGGTCGGTAAATCAATTTCGGCAATAGCTGTAGGATCCAGCGTTATTAGTTCAGGTTGTATCTAAAACAAAAGTATTGTTTATCCAGAGGGCTCTATAGTAAATAGCAATACATTTTTATAGATTTTATTACACAGTTTGTCTAAATATAAATCTATGCACAAATGACAGACTTTCCTTCATTCTAACGCAATTTTCTATAAAATGGAGTTAGTTTGAAACTCAAATTACTTTTTTGTTGTAGAGAAATTTGTTATTTGCCGCTTTTGAACAAGCGGCATCGCAAATTAGAAATTTCTTTACACGAAACAGTTATTTGAGTTTCAAACGAACTCCATTTTATAGAAAATCTGCGTTAGAATGGAGGAAAGTCTTGTCATTTGTGCATTGATTCATATTTAGACAAACTGTGTAATAAAAATCTATAAAAATGTATTGTTGGTTGCCTATTTGCTATAGAGCCCTCTTAATGATATTGAGAGCTACGTATTACGTCCAGCATTTTCAATTTGTAGTAAATAGATCAGATCATTTTGCCTAGAGGGAAAACAAGTCGTGTCGCCTACAGATTAGTAGGTCACTTTCTGCCAGTACAAGTAGTGGTAATGGGAATTTTAACCGATACACTACACAACTTCTTTTGTTTAAAATGCCCCATATTTACAACAAAGATGAATTAATTGACATAATAAATAGTAAACAGGAATTGTTACCAAAATACTGCCATAACATCACGATTATGTAGATTGTTTTTTTTTTGCTAAAAAGTATGAAATTCTAAAATTGTGCAGCAGTTTTGTCTGCCAAAAATTGATGTAAACGAGATAGAAAGACATTTGTTTACATTTTTACGCAGGCAAATTTAAAAAAAAACTTCAATTTCTTTCCTCAAAACTGATTTTTTTTAATCATTGAAATGTCTATTCCTTAATTCCCAATACATGTTAAAAAAATATATATATGAATTTTACCTTTTCAAGTAATGATTTAACTTCGGCTTCCCTCCTCTGGGACTTCGACTGGAATGGATTGGCTTCTAACGAGTCAAAGTTAGGCTCTCCCGCTCCAGGTATTAACAAACTCGTAAATCCACGAGCAGTAGACACACCAAGTACATCCTCATACGGACAGAAATTAAAGTTACTTATCGGAGTGACGAAACGATGCCTCAAATAAGCCCTTTTTGCTGCCGTGGCACAACAATCCCTGTAAGGATTATTTTATAGTTTCATCAACAAACTGCATGAAACCTGTTTTCTTACTAACCTGTAGACTTCTACCACATTGCCCATTCCGATTGCCAACATTTTCTTCTGCGAAAAGCTCAAATTATTTGCAGCTGTTATAAGTTTATACTCTTGCACGGGTCCTTCAAGTTTCCTTACATCCCATATTTTTAATTCGCGATTGCTGGCAGATGTGGCCATGTACCTAAATAATTACATTATTATGACATTAGCAACTTATAAATAATTTCTTACGTTCCGGTAGGATCTACTTGAAGTGCTGTAATGGGCGCCTTGTGACAAAGCATTTTAGCTAGAGGGTCCCTCGATTTCGGTGCCCAAAATGAAACCACACCTTTAGCGTGACCTAATGCGAGAGTTGCGTTCCACGGATTTTGTGTTAATATAGAGAGTCGTCCTAAATTCGTATTGTACTGACCGACCAGCTGACCTATAGAGACGTCCAACCAACTTAAATAACCCTCTTCACTCTACAAACTGTAATTCTTAGAAACGTTCAGGGACTGTTATATTAAAACTTACACAAGTTCCAAGAAGAAAATGATATGGTAAAAATTCCATCCTAGACACCTTATTGAGTTTCTTTACACAATGCAATTCTATTCCTTGATTATCATACATGTAAACCCAGTCTTTTTGAGCTACAGCAAACATGGTTTCAATGTGCAGCCAGCTAATATCATGAACAGACTCCATGACGTTTATTTCGCAATGTAATTTTTTTGTAACCCAATCAAAGGCAGCAACATGTCCTCTTTTCCCACCCAGCAGTAGATGTCTACCATTTCTTGTGTATTTTGAACGATAAGGTCCAAAGTCTAGGTTTAAATCAAAATGTTTAGCAGCAGAAGCTATATCCACACATTTCACAATTTGTTTTTGTGTAAACTGTGTTGTTGTCTCACCAGAGTCAGCTTCAAGAAAACTAAGGAGAAAAATATTTCCATTTAATTCTTACATATATAAGAACTGTGTACATCAAATTTACCATACATTTGTTTATACAATAAACAACTTACCCGACATCCTCTGTTAACAAAACCTCAGTACTTGCAGCTTTTTCTATTGCAAATTTAATGTTTTTCTCCTTTCTCTCTATTTTCTTTTGATGTACATTAGTTTTAACACTTTTTAAGTTAACTCCTTTACCTTTATCATATTTCTTTAAAAGTTCTTTGGATGGTTTAACTTTGCCCTTAAATTTAGGTGTAGGATTTGGCTTATGTTTTACAATTTTCTTAAATTTATTAGAACGTCTATCAGCTTGCCGTCTACCCCACGGTTGTTTTTTAACATTATCTATTTTATAAGATATTACTTTCTCACATTTAGTCTCCGAAGATTGTTTATTTTTCGTATTATCTGATTCTGTTTCTGATGGTTGTGAAAAATATCTTTGAGTGGGCTAAAAATGATATGGAATTATAGAAAATTTTCATTTTTAAATATAATATTACCTTTCCCATTATTAATTAAACAAGTACATGCATACGTAAATATTTAAAAATTTTGGGGGTTAGATGTAGGTGTAGGTTAGGTTTTCTCATCTTCTTCTTTTCGATCTGACCTGTTTTCGTTTGCACCTTCGAGCAAGAATGGTAGGGTTGTACCAATTGGAGCAATCCAGAACAATCTTCCATGTATTTTTACGCTTTCCAGTGCACAATAATGTGATCAGAATTTTCTCAGTCCTACCCTTAGAGGCCACTGAGACGCTGCCTCCAGTAATATATGCTCTTAGGTTCTACCCTCCCTAACCCCTGAGTACATGTATTTTTTGGTTCTATACTCTGCTAAACGCAACATTCGAATTATTTCATAGCCGATGTGATCTAACTGATTATGCTCTGGGAGACCTACGATAAAATATAATATTTTTAATTTTTGTATGTTGCTACATTTATGCGTTCCAGTGCATCTCCAATAAGTAAGTACAGTAAGTACTTACAGTTAGGGATGCGCAAAAATAACCGGTTTTTACGAATACCGGTTATACTTTATGTAGTTAACCGGTTATATCCGGTTATTTTCAAACTAAGGTTTAACCGGTTAACTGCTTCCTGGATGTAATAACCGGCGATAACGGTTATTTAGTAAAAGCAGGCAGGCAGATGAAAAAAGTTAGGTAGTACGCGGATCATATTCGATCCGCCTCGCAATATTTTCGAGGCCCGACTGTCACGGGTCAGTGATCCGATCCGGATCACTGATCAGGTTCAGTCGAGAACACGAATTAATTTAAGAATCCGTGGTCGAGAACGACGTGAGTGGCCCATCTCTCTCTATTTCTATTGGCAGCCTTGCGCGTAACTGTCTACCCTAGATTATCTGTCTACCAATGAACTCTATGGTACGTAGTACAGAGTTTACTGCCTTCTACCGTCACGGTCGACAACGACAACACAGATCTAGATCTGTGGTCTACAATGACAGTTGACAATTGATTTATAAATTGTCCATTGTCCAACTTTAAACTTCACGTTTATGTACTTTAGGTGCTGTTCGTTTTTGCAATTAAAAAAAAATCAAGACCAAGATCCAAGATGCCTAAATTTACAAGCAAGAAGAGTGATGTGTGGAACTTTTTTTCGGCTCAAGGTAACCAAACTCATACTCATACAAATGAAATTGTTTTTTTAAATTCTTTGGACTCTGTTTATTGGGATATGTAAACTGTAAATGTGAAATAATAAATAAAATGAAGAAAATTACATTGTTTTTTTTATTGTGATGCAACTTATTGTTGATTTTATTGAAGTAATAAAATTTTTCCAAAATAACCGATTTTTCACGAATCCCGTTATTAAAAAAAACCTGCATTTCTATAATAAGCGGATAACCGGTTATTTAATGTTAGGTTAACCTAACAGGTTATTTTATTTCTTAAATTAACCGGTTATTAATTAACCGGTTTTTTTTTCATAACCGCGCATCCCTACTTACAGTTTGTCAGGCTGCAGACATCCATAGAAACAGTGTTGCCAACAGACGGAAAAAATTAGTACCAAAGATGAAGCAAGAAAAGTACCAAAAAGGTCCAAGAGGTACCAATATACCAAACAGAAAGTAAATTTTCGGAGGGTTCATTTATCAGTGATGCGCCATTATTCCATGGCTAGAAATTGGCCTCAATGATTTGGGATCGAGGGGGATTATCCCTCTTTATCCTGCCTCATCTCGTGTAGGCCTGGACAGCCTTCGTAGGTGGGCCCCATCCGTCGTCTACCCCGACCGCAAATGCGGCCGGTGTAGGCGCTTTGTGGGACCTCCTTTTGTCCTGGCTGGGCCCCGCCGGCTAGGGCCCTTTCTTCTGGCGCTCTTCTTGCTTCGCCGGCTCGTCTGTGTAAACCCCGGGGGTAGTGTCATGTTTATG